TTAACCAACTGAGCCACCCAGGCGCCCATGACTGTTAGCTTTTTTAATTAGGAAGGAATTTGAAATTAATTTTATCCTTTTTCCTTTTGATCAAACGACTTGTCTCTATTTTGAAACAACTTATGGTTTTTGTTAATGCCATTTGGGCATCAGCCTGTTGACAAAATAACCAGGACTTCAGCCAAAATATTTTAACTACCATATTCAAGACCCTGTATCTAGGGGATTAGAAACATGACTGAAATTGAGTTCTTATCCACAAGGAACTTAAAATATATAGTAGAGATAAGAAAAGTAAGTAACTTCCTTGACCTTGGTAAGGTCAGTGAGCTGAGTAGTAATAAATGGAGAAGCATTAGCATTTAGTTTGGGAGGTGGGGAGATTCTGTGAAGGCTATAGACATAGGTGGCATACAAGAAGATCTTAGAAGAATAAATTGGATTTTGAGAAGAATGGTAGAGGGAGAAGGGCACAGTGTTCCTTCAGGAGAAAAGGCACAGGGACAGAAAAGCATGAGATACTTTCAGGAAGCCCTCTGGTGGGTGGTTGTTAAGGAATGTGGATGGAAGGCAGTGTTTTGTGGGCTTGTAAAAATAGGTGGTTTATGTTGCAGGACACATTGAACGCCAGTGTGGGAAGTGCAGTCACTGCTTGGGAGACAGTAGAGGAATTTTGAGGATTTTTAAGTGAACACTGATAGGAACAGACCTGTGCTTCAGGAAGACCAGTTTGTCAGTACTGCATGGTCCGGATGGAGTAGATGAACGTGGCAGTATTGTGCAGTAGGTTTGGCGTAGAAGCAAGAGAAAGTGGTAAGGTTAACAGTCTTGGGTAAGAATTATTGAAGATCTAAAAGGGATGGCAGGGGTAGAAATGGAAATAAATTTTATAGGTAGAAGCTGTGTAATTTAGCAGTTGATTAGATGGATAGAAGAAGCAAGTAGGTGTTGGCGGTCTGGTTAGTGTTTTGGTTCCTAGTAACAAATGCATGGTTCTTTATATCTAAATCCCGGCAAGGACGTTTCAGCCTTTGTTGTCTGTTTCTAAATCAGTTAGCAGCATTCAACGCTTTGGCAGGCCTTGGATAGAATACAAAAGAAAAAGGTTTTGTTTTTTTAACTTAAATATCTAAATATTCTATAATTGTCATTTTGGCAAACTTGCTTCTTCTATCTTCCCCTAACAAATTTCTTAACATTATCTGATACCCGATCTATGTTCAGACTAATCTGCTATCTAAGAAATGTTTTTTTTTTGCGGAGTTTCTTGGTTAAAAAAAATCATTGCATTTGGTTGGTAACTAACACAAGTCTTTTTTATTACACGCCCCCCATGCTATTTATTTTAAGAAACTGCGTGACATGACCTATAGATTTTTCTGTATTCTGGGTTTGGCTGATTGTATCTTTCAGGTATCATTTAAATTTTTCATTTGCTCCCCTATGTGTCCTGTAACTGGTAGTCTGAGCTGAGGCTCATTTTCTTCATTTTTTTTTTTTTTTTTAAGGGGGTGGGATAAGAATGCTTCCTAGGTGGTGCTGTGTGTTTCCCACTGTAGTACATGTGGAAGCGTAGACCACCTAGGTGTCCCACTTTTAGTGATGTTAAGATTGATTAATTGGCTCAGTTACTGTCCTTCTAATCCTAGCAATAAAATGTTCCCACATCAACCAACCATTCATCTAGGGCTTTTTTTTTTTTTTTTTTTTTGTAGCCAGTCACGATTGTTGCAGAGAGCCTTTATATCAGTAGGGTTGGAAAATGGTGACATTCCAATTCTGTCATCTCTTCTGCAGTTATTAGCCAGACTTTTTTTGTGTGAGAAGAACTTGCCCTCATTGACTATTTGGCTGTCCTAGAGTATAGTTTATATAGGATATACAGACTGGGTATATGCTTACTTCTTTTATCTGCCAGTTTTCAGAATAATGAGGCTTTTTAAAAGTATTATGAACTTGTGAATTTATATATTTGATGTTCTTCAATCCATTTGTGGTTTGTATGAACGTATTTATCTTTATGCTGTAATTCCATGTTTGGGAGCCCCTTTAAGTTGGTACTTGTGTCCTTTTGCCATGACTTTATTCATCTTTGTTAGATTTCTTACTTGTGATCACAATAAAATGTCCCAGGATCATCTTGAAATTTCTTGCCCAGCCTTGGAATTAGCCATTTTTTCAAGGAGCCCAAGTTCAAAGAGTTTTTCAAGGCAATAGGAGTTTCACTTTGGGAAGCTATTAAAGAACAGTACAAGATAGAATGCAGTCACATGAATGTATTTACCTATGGATAAATGGACTATTGGATTCGAATACCTAAAAAGGACTATTGGATTCGAATGAAAAACTCAAAGATCAGTTCCACTATTCCAAGTATGGTAGGCATGAGGTAGTGAGGACTAGATTAGGCAGTGGCAGTGGGTTAGGGTAATGGCAATGGGAATGAGAGGAAGGAATTAATAGCAATATATATTATGTTTTAAAAGTTTTGATATGGTATGTCATTAGTAATGTTAACACTAATAAAAGGATTCAAAGAGAAAAACAAAGATGACTGCAAGATGTATGGTATGGGGTCAGATAGAAATGGGAAGATTGGCAGAGATTGCTAGTTTGGGGGAGAAGATAATGGAGCGTGTTGAGTGTTCAGATGTGGCTGTATATCACAGTGAACTTTGTAGGGGGGGATTGAAATGTGTTCTATGTCTTGCTTTTTCTGAATACTTCATCCACTCTTTTGGCAAAGTACTCAGCTAGTGACTATAGGTGATGCTGTATTGACTGGGAGTGTTAATAACTCTAAGCTTTCATTTGATAAATGTGATTACAATAAATGTTTGATATATTAAACAAGAACCATCTGTTTAATGTTAAGTGAAATGGGAAACAGACTGGAAAAACATCACAGCAAATATAAAAAAGATTAATATCAATAAATATTACAATTATTTGAAACAAAACCAAAAAATGTCAGCAAACCAGGCAAAGGACTTGAACAGATAATTCTCACAACTGGGAAATATACAGTTAACCCTTGAACAATGTAGACATTAGGGGGTGCCCTTCCCTTCCCCTCCCCCTTGTAGGGGAAAATCCATACGTAACTCGTGACTCCCCAAAATTTAACTGCTAACAGTCCACTGTTGACCAGAAGTCTTACTGGTAATATAACGAGTTGATTAGCAGACATTTTGTATGGTATATGTATTATATACTATATTCTTACTAAAAAGAGAAAAGAATATGTTAAGAAAATTATAATGAAGATGGGCGCCTGGGTGGCTCAGTTGGTTAAGCGACTGCCTTCAGCTCAGGTCATGATCCCAGGGTCCTGGGATCGAGTCCTGCATCGGGCTCCCTGCTCTGCGGGGAGCCTGCTTCTCCCTCTCCCACTCCCCCTGCTTGTGTTCCCTCTCTCGCTGTGTCTCTCTCTGTCAAATAAATAAATAAAATCTTTAAAAAAAAAAAAAGAAAATTATAATGAAGAGAAAATATATTTACAATACTGTACAGTATTTGTCGAAAAAAATCCACGTGCAAGTGGACCTGCGCATTTCAAGCCCATATTGTTCAGTGGTCAGCTGCAATTTATTAATTCACTCCTTCAGCAAACATTTATTGAGCTCTTTCATCAGGCACTGGTCTGAGTGGTAGCAAACAAGATCTCTGAGCTTTTGGACGGAGGTGTGAGAGATGGACAATAGCCGCGTTCCAAAAAAACAAGAATTTCAAATAGTGCTATTAGGAAAATAAGGGTAATGAGGTAGAGAGTGGCTTTTGGTTTTTATTTTGTTTTGTTTTGATTGATTTTTGCCTTTTCTTATTGGAAAGCATTAGTAGTTGTGCAGCTGTAGTTTAGGGTTGCTAATCGCTAATTATGTGGGAAAAATGAGATTGAAGTTTTATTGGGGTTTCCTGATAATTGGACTTATATGTGGTTTTCTTTTCAGTTTTTTCTTTTGTTTGGTTCCTCTTGAAGACGTTTATAGAATGGATAGAGTGCAGATTGAGATCTTTCGTTTCTTGTGGAGCTTACGTGGGTTCTTTTCACAGAATAGTGTTTATTTTGTTCTGTTGGGAGGGAAACTATTCCTCTGAAAAATGTTCACATTTTTCCCTGTGGCTTCATTCAGTAGTGAAATGTAGTGATATGATTTTGCCATGAGTCAGTGGCACATCCGAGGGTAGAACCTTCTCTGGAAACTTCTCTGCTCATAAAGGATGGTTTAAAGGGTCACATGAGGTACATGTGGAAATTAAAGGAATCCCTGGGTACTTAGAAGTGGAAGGAGCTGCTGGAGCTTATCTTTGTCCTTTGCTGTTTAATTATATATCATGTAACTGAATGTTTCAAACTGCAATTGAAGTATAGGAAGTTCAGAGCATTTCTTTAAAGGAAGGTAATAAGGGGTTTTGCAGATGGGAAGTTACTTGTGTAAGGAACTCTCTTTAACAGATAAACATTTTTTTTTTTTTAAGATTTTATTTATTTATTTGACAGAGAGAGAGATAGCGAGAGCAGGACCACAGCAGGGGGAGTGGGAGAGGGAGAAGCCGGCTTCCCTGTGAGCAGGGAGCCTGATGTGGGGCTTGAACCCAGGACCCTGGGATCGTGACCTGAGCCGAAGGCAGACGCTTCCGACTGAGCCACCCAGACGCCCCAACGTTTGGTATTTTCCATATATTACTGAAGATTGATCCAGAAAAACAGAGAGCAAGAAAGATGCCTGTTACTTTGCAATTATATTTATTATTATTATTATTGTTACTATTTTATTATTATTAAGTTTAGGGACTTTTTAGGTATGGGAAAGAGATATGGAATAGGAAAATAAGTTTCAGTCTTTAATTTTCTATTTGGAAATTTTTGAGAATAGAAGATCTATGGGAAGAAAAGGGATGAAGTTTTTAGAAACGGAAATAGAAATAGTCCTGAGACTTAGCCTGTGCTTTCTTTAATTCTGACTAACTGTGTGGGATTGCTTTCTTTTTCAAGGAAACTTGAACATAACTTCAAAAGAAGATTTGATTTTTTATTTCTGGACTGCATATATATAACAAGACCATCAGAATGTCGGGAGCCTCAGTGAAGGTGGCTGTGCGGGTTCGGCCCTTCAATTCTCGAGAGACCAGCAAAGAGTCCAAGTGCATCATTCAGATGCAAGGCAACTCGACCAGTGAGTTCATGTTATTTTCTATCAATTATATCTCATCTTCCTGTCCTCTTTCTTTCTTTCTTTCTTTCTTTCTTTATTCATGAGAGAGAGAGAGATAGAGAGAGGCAGCAGCAGAGGGAGAAGCAGGCTTCCCGCCTAGCAGGGAGCCCGATGCGGGACTCGATCCCAGGACCCTGGGATTGTGACCTGAGCCGAAGGCAGACGCTTAACCATCTGAGCCACCCAGGCGTCCCCTGTCCTTTTTCTTTTCCCTTACTGTGAACAGAATAAATGAACATTTGGATAGTAACACTTTGAACTTTGCTACTCTGAATGATCCACTAAATGGTCCCTGTGATATGATCCCTGTGATATTTGCTGTAGCATATTTAAATATGGACTGTTTATTTTGTTCTTTACAATTGAGAAATCCCTGGAGAACTACACTAATTTAGATCTTAATGATAATAAAGGTATAAGCAGTGATTTTTTTACTTAATCATGATGTGAAATGTATCTGTTGAGGCTCTAAGATTATTTTTCTTTCTTGATTTTAAATGGTACTTGAGCTTGCCAAGATGGTCTTAACTTACTCTCCTTCCTTACAGTGGTTCTTTGAGTTGAACAACAGATTTAGCTACAATCAATAATAAACTTGTAAATTTATTACTAAGATTATAAGTAATTGCTTATAATTTTTTTACAAATAAGAGGATTTATTATTGAAATTTAAGTCCTTGCTTTCTAGCTTCTTTCTTCATATATAATTGCTTAGGTGAAAAATGACTTAAGCTGGTTTATTTTGTACTTGCATTAATAATGCCTTGAAATGGATCTGTAGGCAAATTATTAAAGTAGCATTAGTTCTACTGTCTTGAAACCTACAACTTTGTGATAAAGCAGAATCGTTGCTCTCCCAGACATAAGTTAATGCTGAGTTGTTGGGGAAACCATTCTGATTTCATCTATTTGTAGGCCATTTGCCAGTGTTCTCTAGAGGATTCTATCAGTGGGAAATAAAATTGTATATATTTAAGGTGCACATTGTGATGTTCTGATATATGTATACATTGCAAAATGATTACCACAATCCACACTAATTAATGTATCCATCACCTCTCATAGTTACCCTTTTTTGGTGTGCGCGTGGTGAAAACACTGGAGATCTGGGACGCCTGGGTGGCTCAGTCAGCTGAGCGTCTGCCTTCAGCTCAGGTCATGATCCCAGGGTCCTGGGATCGAGTCCCGCATTGGGCTCCTTGTTCAGCGGGGAGCCTGCTTCTTCCTCTGCCTGCTGCTCCCCCTGCTTGTGCTCTCTCCCTCTCTCTCTCTAATTGATAAACAACAAACAAACACTGGAGATCTATTTCTCAGCAAATTTTAAATATACAATACTTTATTATTAACTATAGTCACTATGCTGCACATTAGGTCTCCAGAACTTATTCATCTCAGGACTAACAGTTTGTATCCTTTGATCAATATCTCTCCTTTGTCCCCATCCCTACCCTCTGGTAACCACCATTCTGTTCTCTGTTACTATGAGTTTGCCTCTTTATTAGATTTTTTTAAAGATATGAGTCCATGAATTATATCCTATGAGTAATTGTAAAAGAAAAAGATGCAAAATTTAGCATTGAATTGTACACTTTAAATGGGTGAAAGGTGAACTTTATAGGGTATGAAAATTTTAATTTTTTTTTTTTTTTTTGAAGATTTTGTTTATTTATTTTGACAGAGAGAGACACAGCGAGAAAGGGAACACAAGCAGTGGGGAGTGGGAGAGGGAGAAGCAGGCTTCCTGCTGAGCAGGGAGCCTGATGCGGGGCTCAATCCCAGGACCCTGGGATCATGACCTGAGCCGAAGACAGACGCTTAATGACTGAGCTACCCAGGCGCCCCGAAAATTTTAAATTTTTTAAGAAATGTCAGTATTGATCATTTGCTCCTTAAAGTTTGAGCTATTTGTAATTGAACTAGAGAACAAATGTTTGTTTGTTTGTTTATAAACAAATTTATTTATTTATTTGAGAGAGAGCACAAGCCGGAGGGCGGGGGGGGAGATGGGAAGGGGCAGAGGGATAAGCAGACTCCCTGCTGGAGGCCCCAAGATGGTGACCTGAGCTAAAGTTAGACGCTTAACCGACTGAGCCACCCAGGTGCCCTGAGAACAAATGTTTATGCTCTTAAATGTCACTCATTTAAGCTATGTTGTTACTTGTGCTTCATTTTAAGAGTTACATTTCACATAGAATATAAGTAAATCTTTGCACAGGAGCCATGCTGATTTGTAGCAGTCCAGTTTTAGTATATGTGCTGCTTAAGTGAACCCACTAAATCCTGATTATTGAGCTCTTGTTTCTCTCTGCAAAAAGTATTTAATTATAACTTAGTTTGGAGGCATTTTTGGCTGTTGGCATTGCCTCTAAAAATGCTGGTATGTATCACAAGTTCTTTTAAAAGGTAGACTTTAGGAAATCCTCGATCAGGAGCCAGAATTAATCCTAAAAAGAACTACTTTTCTCTGTGATACGTTTTGCATACTGAACTATCCAGGAGAAATCCCCAGTGTCATGGGTATCTGTTGCTACTTTACTTATAGGGTTGCAAATCTTACTAAAAACTTGTAAGTAGAGAATGAGTATTAAAAGGCCATATTCATGAAATGTGAAAATCAATTTATTATATAACAAAAACAAATGGAAAGTTTTATTAATATAAATAATGATACTAGTGTTTTTTTTCCTTGATGACAAATCGTTTTAGAATGCCCACATCTTAAATTGGCTATAAGTTTATATTCATTGTCAAAGTCAAATAGCATTGTGTTCATTTCCCCACAGTTTTTTTTTTTTTTTAAAGATTTTATTTATTTATTTGAGAGAGAGAATGAGATAGAGAGAGAGCATGAGAGGGGGAAGGGTCAGA